ATTGATATGTTTGTTCATTGTGTTAATGTTCATGATTTGGACAATAGATGGTAAATTGACATTGACTCAATGTCAAAATGCATGTGCTGATGGTGAATCTGCACGAGAAGCATTTTGTGGAAAAATACCATCAACTCATGGAATGGATGTTGGTGCTGCAAAAAATGAAGTGAAGGCTAAATGTTGGTCACACGTTTATGAATCAACAACAGCATGCAAAAATTGGTGTGCTTGGTGGTTTTAGTAATAGTGAATATCAATAATAGTTTGAAATTTAGCATTAAATTTTGTACCGATATTAATAATCACTTTTTTTTCAAGAGAATAATGATGTTTTAATATTTTACTGATTTTCAATATGTTATTCAATACAATAAAAAGAAACAGAAATACTCATTGTTATTATATTATAACTATTCACGCATTGCAGCTAGATTAGTATATGGGCGTGATCAGCTGACAGGATGTCCCAACATTTATTTATCCATGTAGGTTCATCCATCTATCAGAAAATTTTGATCTTTTTATCATTTATACCTCTTACATAATGCTACTGATCTGTGACTATTTGAGATCTATATATTAGTAAAAATGAGGGTTACTAAGGACATCCTTATGATCATTGTGCTAAACGTGCTTCACATCATATTTGTTAACATACATCATTCTCCATTAAGAAATCTGAAACAGCATGAAAGATCAATAAGTTTCATTATCAAGTAATTAATCAGAAAATACAAGTTATCATTTTGTGTATCTACGAATAGGATGTTTTATTAAGTTCAAATTACATAGAGCACGAACGACTTGTACGATTTTTATTGCCTTATGAAAATCATCAATAGTTCCTCTGTAGACACCACCAAGAATTGCATAAGCTTTAAGACGTTGATTAATATTTTCAATAGCTGCTCTTGCGCTATTAATGCCATGATTGCAATTCTTATCTTCATCTGTTAATTCGCGTCCATGAGGCTTTTTCTGGCAATAACTATGTATTCTTCACCAATATATCCTTTGTCATCAATAATTTGCACGGCGTCGTTTACATGTTCTAATAGTTCTGATTCTCTTAGAATTGTAATATCATGTGCACTCCCACGAAAACATTCGGATACGTGTACTATTCGATGATGAAAGTCACAAGCTATTTGTACTTTCAATGCATAATTTGTTGATCTTTTCGCATGATAATACGCTTTACGTTGTTCTGAATCATAAGGTTCAGGAATTGCAATAAAAGTCGAGTCGACTATTAGTTTATGGTATTGTTGAAGTCCGTGTGGTGTTCTACTGATTGATACGTTAGCAGGTATTGAAACTAATTCTGGATATACACACGAATGTAAAATATCGGCAACTGTTGATAATAAATAATTCACTGCTGGTTGACTTAAATTCGATTCTGAAGCAATATAACATTCAGAATGATAATGTTTTAAGTGCCATAGTGTAACGACAAGCATATTCATAGGAGAAAAATACGAGGTAGTGGCACTGTTTGTAAGTCGGTAGTTCTTATGGGAACAATAATTTATAAACGGTTGTTCACATATAGCATACAATTCTTGTACTTGCTCGATATCATGTCCAGTATGTTGCACGCAAGATGCATTGGTACGTCTCCATTCAGACCAAGGACATAGTTCTACAATATAGAAAAAAATTACAATAGTTATTAATTTTTGACTATTCCTGCAGCACAAAATAATCGACTGATAGATGCATGTGTAAACTAACAGAGTAATATTACTTACTATCATCTAAAGCCTGAAGCTGTTGTTTTTCTTCTTCAAGTTCTGGTATACAATAACTACAATTGTTACGATGACGATAATAATTCGAGTACCAACCAGATTTTCCTGAGTCAGTACATGTCCACGTTAGCATTGAATGACATTCGGTACAATATTTACGAAGATCATTTGGAGTAGATCCAGATTGAGAACAATCCTATTTAACTTGTGAAGAAGACATAATCCAAGGGTGATAAGCGTTTGTTATGGAGTGAGCGTGTGTTGAAGGAAACGAAGAACGAAGAAAAGCGAAAAGAATCACAGTTCGAACAAGAATGATCCAACTAGAACACAACGTTAGGATACAATGGATAAAATATTATCGCTCATGGAATATATACCAAAGACAAGATGTCAATAAATACGATGTGAAGTACGTTTAGCACAATGATCATAAGGACATCCTTAGTAACCCTCATTTTTACTAATATATAGATCTCAAATAGCCACAGATCAGTAGCATTATATAAGAGGTATAAGTGATAAAAAGATCACATTTTTCTGATAGATGGGTGAATCTACATGAATAAATGAATGTTGGAACATCCTACCAGTTGATCACGCCCATATATAATAGTACGGAAGATCTGCCATACTTATCATGGATATGTAAAATAAACTTATTTGCTGATTCAATGATTATAATAATAAGAATATTAAATTAAAAAAACACGAATTAAACAAAGAGTGAAAAATAATGAGCGAATAGCAACAATGCAAACAAAAAATAGGGCGCCCGTAGAAAAAATAAAAAATTTCTGTTTTAAATTTAGAAATAAATGTAGAAATAATAAATTCTCGCTCTTGTCATCGATTATTAGTGAAAACAACTACAATCGACGAGAAATTTTTCAGTTCACGGATGATGTATTAGGATAGCAAGGTTAAAGGATATACTTGTGAGTTCCATATTTCAGCTTCGAAGGAACTGCGCTAACAAGCTTTTGTTACTATTTGAAACCTTTTAAGGGTTTACAAACATGGGTTTCAGAAGTCTTAGAAACCTGTAAAAATCAGTTACAGTAGTTTGTCGGATACCAATATCCGAGACCGTTAAAAAGGTTTTCGAGCTCACCAAAATGAGAACCCAATATGCAACCTTAAAAAAATCAGGTATAGGTGAGTATATGTGTTGGTGCCAGTGGCACTATGGATGTGAGTATTCTCTTTATCGACACTCACGTCCACACCAACACCCTAGCTAGCAATACTAATACTCTATTAGATCCGGTCATCTTTCACAACTATGAAAACGATATCAGTGATGTATGAAACTAATTTTAATTATATTCTATGCGTGCTTCTCGTTTTTTTTTCTTCATTTTAACATTCAAAATGATTCGACTCATAATAAAAACTCACAGTTTAAATAAAAAAGTCTGTAACAGGCAGACCTAAAAAGGAATCTATATGAATAAGAGGATTCAGATATACGTTATGACAAAAAACCTTCTTTCACTTTGAGCAGAAAAGCTTTCATCATTATATACCAGCTGGTTGTTTCAATTGTGCTCATTCATATGATTTTCATGATTTCAGTGTACGAGCTGCTTTAAATGTGCACATAATTCATGCATTCAAGTACTTGTCTATGGAAAGAAAATTATGTAATATGGACACGTCTTGAGGTCTGTGTATGTCAAACACATGACAAAAAAAAGTTCGACTGGAATAGGGCTTTTTATTGCTTCATCTAGTAGGATAGACAGCAAATGTTTAGTTGAGAAAATGCGCTTTCTCGTTCGATACCGTGTTCTTGGCTGCTCCCTCTCTCATTTCTATTTTGGTTCTTCTTTTTTGTACGACATTCTCATGTGAATCAGACATATCAACTTGATCGGGACTGTGCTGACACGCTCTATATGGAGTTCTACAAAAACCGCAGAGACAAATATAAATATAAATTAAGAGAATACCATTCAGATTTTAAGGCCTTGCATCCAGTGAAGTTTTCCAAACATGAAACAATTTCGAAGAATCATCTCGTCCAAAAATAATTATCGATAATTTTCTATTATTAATTTCACTGTTCAAAGCAAGATGTACGTATTTTCCGTTGTTTTCCCTATCATATTTCTACAATGTGATAATTCGCTCATTGACAACACGATTATTGAAATCATCTTATAGAAATTGCAGTTAGTTTTATCTCATGCAGAGAGACCATCGGTAAGTGACAAGCCAAGTCTAACAACCTATACTCTCGTGGTAAGGTCGTTTATAAATATTTTTATTCGTGCCTCTGCACAGGTATATTATAGAATTTGCTTGCCACAATAAGGTGAAAGATTAGAGCGTCGTCGTAAGCACATCTGAGTATGGATTATGTGCTTCTTTTTAATAGTTGGAAAAAAACAACTGTCGACACTCAATAAAGTGTGCTCTTCATCATTTTCTTCTCGATAATTATCTGCGAAAACGAAAGCAGCTATTCATACTGTATTTGTCTCTAAGAAATACGGGAGAGGTCATCATGTTTTGGATCATTCTAATAACAAATGAAAAAAATATTAGGCAAAAAAAGTGTGAACATTGCTCTCGAAATTTTCAAAAAATTCTCCTGGATCGTATTCAAGCACTGTGGCGACGTTCAATAAACGTAATATTTAACTTTTGTGTTTAGGAAATCATGATAGACTAAGTAGAACTAATTCGATATCTGGATATTTAGCTATTCATCAAGTATTGGTGATATGCAATCCTGGGTATACTACATCGTGCTATTCTTCGGCTCAGATAGGTTTTGTTGGAAAGAGACTTGCTCGCTCTGCTCTATCTAGTTTCATTCTGCTTCTTCGAATTGGTATTCAGGAAAAAGAGAGCTAGAAGCAACGATGATAAATATTTTTAGGATTAAAGTAGTAGCAAGTTACCAAAACACTCATTGTACAATAGACAAAGTCACATAATTTTTCTGCTATTTCAATATATGTTTAACTGAATCATTTCATAAACTTTTCGAACATATATCTCTGCAACATCTCAATCGTCTTTTATGAATTTCGCGCTGTTTAATAGAGCATTCCAAGATATTTACCGACTAATATCACGCAGATTTTTCCATTTTCCATTTTCTGACTTTAGACCTATAAAATCAAAATAATATTCATGAAAAATTTCTAAGCTATTAATGAAAATGTAAATCTACAGTGAAATGTTTCGATATGAATATAAAATGAAAAAAATATCATCTCTTGTGAACCACTCATTTAAAATTATCCAATCATGATGTAACTGATGTGTTGCCATTGAGAGTCATAGTTCTCAGTGAGTAAGTGGTGTGTATACATAATTTCACAACCAGTGACGCTACATACGAGAAACATTGTGCAATAACCCTTTTGCTTATAAAGCAAAGCAGTTGCTGAGTAACTATAACATATCTTGAAAGAAACAATACTTTCAACTTGATATACAAAATTACTGAAACATGTCTTCATCGAACGAGAAAACACAAGTCATTATCGATTTGAATAAAATATTAAATCTTAACGATTCTAATGAAATAAAACGAATGGAAAATGAATTCGAATTGAATGGTTGGTGTTTCATCTATTTACCAACTGAACTCATTCCGAACTCAAACTTGATTAAGGAACTGTCGACATTTTTTCAGTCTGGCAATAGTAAGAGTAGATATTCGCAGCGCTTGGCTATATATGGATATTCTAAAGTGCATCACAAAGAAGGAATCAAATTACTAACCGGAAGTTATTTTGGCGAATTTGCAAATAAAGGGTTGGTACCAAAGACGCTTGTTCAACCGTTGAATTACCTTTCTCAAGTATTAGATGCCATTACAAAATGTTTAATCGAAGTTCTTGATCAGTATTCAGTATCCCAACAGGAATCATCTTTATTATCTCTCATCGAACGTGCCAATCTTCCATTACAAGATGAACATTTCGGTATGCTTGACATTGTATCCTATTTCAACGGAAAAAGTGGCTTCCAACCACCACAGAATGGACAAACAATCGAAGAAGTCAACTGTGTTCCACATTATGATCCAGGATTACTTTCAATTAGTATTTTATCGACACATGAAGGACTTCAATTGAAAAATATGGTGAATAATGAATGGATAAATGGACCTTTAGAACCAAACGTTGGTGTCATCTGGTTAGGAGAAGCAGCTTCTCGAGTAACACAAAATCGACTTAAACCAGGCATCCATCGAGTTATTTATCCTCAAAAATCGAAATGTCGACTTACCATCTGGTATGAAGTATGTACAGTTGAACAATTAAAAAATATACGCACTGATCAGGAAGATGAAATAATGGCTGATGGAACCGTTAAATTTGAAAGTCTTCTTGGATTAGCTCCAATAAATGTTGTACCTGGTGAGACAAAACTAGAATTTTTGAAACGAGTTGAAATGGCACATGGCTTATCCATGAGTAAAGTGGGTCCACCGTATTATGTACTTGAAAAGCATGACATTTCATATCCGACAAATGGTTTGAAAACTGAATAAACAATACACTGATTTATGTAATAAACTTTTTCGTCGATATGCAACGGTCCATTTATAAGATGCAACTATCTGTAAGGTGGACAGTAGCTAACATTGCTTGCACTTTCAACATTCTAACAGTATATTGATTAACAGATCTTAAATTCGAATAACGCATATCATATCATAGGAATTTTAATAAAAATAGAAGGAAAAGGCGTTTTCTTTAAGTAATATGGTTTTGAAGCATCATTGCCTACTTTGTATTCTTTTTTTTTACTTTTGCAGAAAGCATTTAGCTTCAGCAGAATAATAATCAATTCAATGACTAATCTCAATCTCATTTCTTCTTGCCCTTTAATCGATCAAAAAAATAACAAATCATTGGCTTTTGCAGTTTTCAAAATAGTTCAAAATTTTTTAGAAATCTGTCACCAACAATAAGAATAGTTATATGTTGAGTAGTATCAAAAGTACAAGCACGTTTACAGTGAAGTAGGCTGTCACTGTGTAATAGATCATTTATGCACTCACTGTATTGTAAGATTTCATATAATTTCTATCCTCTCATTGATATTTATCTGTCTGACTAAATAGAACATTTTTTAGAGGAAAAAAGTTTGCAACTCCAATATGAGTCGAAAATTTTGCGGTTTTTCGGTCACAGTTGGCTCAGCCCGGTTCGAATTCATGTACATTAAAATTCTACCCGTGCAGAGCACTATTTTCTAGTACTTGGACAATTACTTGGTTACAAGATAGTTCACTATGAGCTACCAATGGTACTACAAAACAAGATTATTATATCGTCAAAATCCCACGAATTGCATCGTGGGACAACAAGAACTCCATTTTAATGAGTTATAACAAGGATAATGAATTTTTCGCATACACACAGCTCAAGCTGTCTTCCTTCTTCTATGGAATATTAGACATGCATGATTTTCTTTGTCTTTTTAGCCAGTTTTTTGTTCCATATTCTGACAGCAGCAATAACAGTGTCAATCAAAGGAGAACAATTACGTTAATATATTATCTATCTAGTGTTCACAAGCATGTCAGAAACAGTTACTCTTATCATCCGCCATCGCTCAAACTCGCCTAGAACAACCACAAAATTTGTCGTATATTGAAGTTTTGTTCGAACAAGAACAAATGAATATTGGGTTTATTTGATGTCAATATAGTAACATGTTGGAATATACCAAAAAAACAAGGGAAATCATCATACTGAGTTGTCACTATATTACAATGTTCCGACAGTAAACAAGTGTTGACATTGTGAGAAAAATATTTGAAAAATTGAGCAAATCTACCTTCAATAATCATTCCTTGATCAATCATTCTCAGCATCCAACACGAGTTTCGAGTGAATCAAAGCCAATCGGCAAGTCCACAATCAATCGCATGGCAGTTTTAGTCTCATTTTTTTATATTTTACTTTTGAATTTGCTTCGAATGACTACTTGTCTCTTTTTTTTTAATCTATTTTAATTTTAGAATCCATTTCAGACAACTCCATATTCGATTTCTATTCAAGATAAATTTGTTTTAATCTCTATTTTCTTTTCGTTCTGAAAAGAAATTGGACTGAACTTTCGTGGTTCATGTTTCTCAAAGTTCTCTAATGACCATTCATAATTGAAAAACTCTGAAACAATCCATTGATTCTGTTAAAAGCAAAGTTGATGCTTCAGTTGATCATGACCGATAGTATTCGATTGTATTGAGTTGATTTTCGAAAAGATCTCTACAAGGGTTTTTTTCTCTATCGAAATAGAAAATTGAATATTGCAGATTAGTCAGAAGTTTTGAAAATATGTCGACTCTGTTTATTCTGATGCGTTCTCAAATTAGTACAGATAGGATCTCTCCACGAAGTTACGATGAAAGATGGCAATCAAATACATCATGAGACAATCTGTCGATAAATTCAGGAAATACAATTTTTTGACTGTCGATCATTTATGTTGTCGATCATTTTGCAAAGAGCTTTAAACTACATGTAAAAAAATGATCACAAGACTTTTGAGGAAATCACTATGAAGATGACAACAATAAAGACCAGAAAAGGGTAGTATTAATCATATGCCAAGGTCTACCATTAAGTTTATGATTCTTTGAAAAAAAACACTATTGTCGTATGTGGAGATAGCGAACAATCTTTGATAGAACTTAATAAATCTAATGTCGTAAGCACCAATTCAAAGTTCTGACTATCGATGAATGTTTACTGGTTCTCTTCTTTTCTGTGGATACGCATGTGTACGCCATCTTTTTCTCTTCTCTTTCATGTTCTCAAAAAGAAAAAGAATTGGTAATGAGCAGTCGACCAGTTACAATTCTCTACCAGCTCACCTTCGCGACTGACTTCAATCAATGAGAGACAATAATCAAATATTCTTACTATTTTTAACAATTTATAATTCAACCGATTCAATGTGTCGTTTTTTTTTCTTGAGAGATATATCATTCGGATATTAATTGATGTTTTTTTTACTCTCTACTACATAGGCTACACAGTAAAAGAAGCAATGGCGTCTTTTACTTTGGCAGTTTATTGATTACTTTTTGTCCTCTTCTTTAATTCTTTCACAAATGTCATGCACACGTGGTGTTTTTAGACGAGAAAAGATAATATTCTGTTGTTTTTATACAACAAGGTAAGTATTCAATGCACTATTTTATCGTCTCAGAAGATAAACTCTTAGTGAAATGAACTAATCTAGGAAAATGACGATCAGTAGATTCATCAAAAGAACCATGGAGGTGATTTGAAATTTTTTTTCGACTGTTTTGGTTAGCGCATACTTAAAATAGTATGGTTCATCTTGGTCTTAACATTAGTCATCATTCTACCCCACTAGTAGATACTGAATTTGTGCTACTAGAACCGTTTCGACCAAACAATTTTAAATATATTGTTTGAAAAATAGAGAAAACGAACCACTAAATCATATGTGAATAAGATCATAATAATCGAGCAAAACTAGACGCTAATTTAATTCTATAATACTTTATTTTAATGAGATGTAAAACACACTTTATCCATATTTAGGTATCTTTCTGAGAATTGATAGTTTATCAGCATTAATTAAAACGAGTTCTATTCTATACAGATAGCGCGATAACAGAGTATGATATATAGTGAGAACTGTCAAACCCTGAAAACGTACCGTTTTGAATCGGATCTATACCAATTAGTAGAACTCGATGAGACTAGGCGAAGCCTAAAAGAGTCCATCCCCATATCCTGTCCTTCTCGAGTTATGACAGTTTTAATGATTTTCAACCTCTAGTAAGGTATATATGGAAAAATCGAACCACAGAATTTCGACCTGAAATTATGGCCATCTCATGGTTCTTGGAATGTGCTAAAAATTTTAGGCCAAAAGAATGTTTTCTTCTACAGATAATGAGTATTCAAAAAATGATCATGTGTCGCAAGGAAAGGTCAGAAAAACCAGTGCCTTCAACATTCGATATATCAAGAGAAGAGCATTCTTTTGGGTTGAAATTTTTAGGACATTCAAAGGATCATAAAACCTATCTATGAGTAAAATTTCAGGTCAAAATCCCATACTTTGATTTTCTCATATATATCTTACTAGAGGTCGAAAATTCAGTAAAATGATCATAACTCGAGAACGACAACGTATGGGAACAAACCTTTTTTAGCATCATCTAGATCCGATTTACAACTGCGCGGCACACTTGGTGACCTTCCCTCGTTAATGGCTTGATCGATCATAGTAATCAATAAAAAATCTATTCTCTTCGAACTCTAGCAATCAATTTTATATCTTTAGTTTTTTTGAAACTCAGAATAGTAACACTAACTCTATCGAAGCCTTACTTTTTCAGAGAAATAAGAGGAAAATACTAAATCATTTCATTTGAAATGAGAATTAAGAAAAAGCTTTTTTTAATTTAGAATCATGTGATTTATTGTTACTCAGACAACAACTAACGAAGGAATCGTCTACTGAATTCTATTTGTATTTTATATCTAATATTTTCAAGAATAAAATTTTGTTTATCTTTAGTATTTTTTCAGTGATCTAATTAGTAATTATGATTGAGTACAAATTTTTGCATATAGGCCTAGTATTTCAAACATTTCTTTTTTTAGAATTATACATCGAAAATGTCTGCCGCTGTACGAGCAGCTACTGCTTCAAACGCACGTATTCTGTCTTCTTTAAAATCACCTCCAAACGTTGTTGTTGTTGGTGGTACAGCAGGTATTGGTCGAGCAATAGCTCTTTCAATAGCTCAACATTGTCCATCTGCTAATATTACCATTGTTGGACGAAATGAATCTGCTGCCAACGCTATTCTACCACAATTAGGTTCAAATCCCAAATTCATTCGTGCTGATGTCTCACTTATGTCTGAAATTCGAACTACAACAAAGAAGATTAATGATGTTGATATGTTAATTTTAACACAAGGAATTTTAACTATGACAGGTCGAACACCAACAACGGAAAATATTGATAATAAATTGGCTTTACATTATTATGGTCGAATTTTATTCGTACAAGAACTTCTCCCATTACTTCGATCATCACAAAATGGTGGTAAAGTTCTATTCGTATTCGATAGTATCAATGGTAATCCATC